TTGCCTTTTGCCTACTAATAAATAGGGCTTTTGTGAGTAAGTTCATTTTCTTGTAATTGGGACTGATGTTGGCAGAAGTTGTGTTGGTTTTTGGTAGTACGTTGAATCAAGAACAAGAGACCAGCAGAGCTTCCGTGGTACCCAACAGTGGTATCAGCAAATGAGCCATTTGTTCTTCCAATCTTTATTGGCACTGCTGGGGAATGCAAACAGGAGGCTGTTAGCGTGGTACCACCTTGATTCCAGGCACCTCCACATGGGTACCTGGGGAGGAATAACCCTCTGCCCCAGTACAGGTTGGGGGTGACCTGCTGGAGAGCAGCTCTGAGGAGAAAGACCTGGGAGTCCTGGTGGCCAACAGGATGCGGCATCCTGGGGGGCATCAGGAAGAGTGTGAGCAGCAGGTGGAGGGAGGTCATCCTGCCCCTCTGCTCTGCCCTGGGGAGGCCCCATCTGGAGCACTGGGTCCAGTTCTGGGCTCCCCAGTTCCAGAAGGACAGGGAACTGCTGGAGAGGGGACAGCAGAGGGCTACAAAGATGATGAGGGGCCTGGAGCATCTCTCTGATGAGGAAAGGCTGAGGGACTTGGGGCTTTTTAGTCTAGAGAAGAGAAGGCTGAGGGGGGATTTGATCAACACCTATAAATACTGTAAGGGTGGGTGTCAGGAGGATGGGGCCAGTCTTTTTTCAGTGGTGCCCAGGGACAGGACAAGAGGGAACGGGCACAAACTTGAATGTAAGAAGTTCCATCTCAACATGAGGAGGAACTTCTTTCCTGTGAGGGTGGCAGAGCCCTGGAAGAGGCTGCCCAGGGAGGTGGTGGAGTCTCCTTCTCTGGAGACATTCAAAACCCACCTGGACACGTTCCTGTGGGACCTGCTCTGGGTGGCCCTGCTTTGGCAAGGGGATTTGGACTAGATGATCTCCAGAGGTCCCTTCCAACCCCAGATCATTCTGTGATTCTGTACCTGTGTCTGTCCTCGCAGGACATGCAAAATCAAGCAACCATTTGGTTTTATGGGTAGAAAAATGAAAGGGTTACTAGTGTCGGGTCTCAAAGGGATTTCCCTCCAAGTTGTGATACTGATTTAGCTTCGCAGATCCACCCAGCAACTGCAGTGCTTAGCCTTGGGTGACTTGCCTCACAAAGCTTACTGCCTGTGGTAAGATGGAGCTTCTCTCCACACAGCCACAGCGAGAGACTCCTCCAGCCTTTGCAACCTCATTTTCAGGCATTTGAAAGTGCAATCACCCATGTAGGAGACAGAGCTTCTCTTTGATGGCCTGTTTGTTTGCCGTTCAGGGGTCTCAGGAGCTTCATCAACACTCAGCAGTTGAGCCTTTCTGGATTCCAGCTAGTACTTTTGTCCTCTCTTGCAGGGAGAAAAGCTAAGCCACTGAGGCTTAAGAAACGGTGCTGAGTTGTAGCTTAGACAATTTGGAGATAAAAAATAAAAAGTAAACTCAGGGACTGTGCTCCCCGTACAGATGCTGGTTTAATTTGGGTGGTTTGAGTGACTGTAATTGTATATTTTAAAATAGCCTTTTCCCATCTCTTCTGACTCTGGAGAAAACAGATGCAAAAGAAGTGAGGCAAGGGGGGGGGTCCCCAAGGAGAGGTGTACGTGAAGCCTCCCTGGGCTCTTGAATTTAGCTTAACTTTTAATACAACTGCAGTTCTTGGGGCTTGATCTGGGAAAGGGTTTTGGGGCCAGAAGCCAGCTTGATGCATCCTCTCCCCATCCTGCTTGTGGTCAGGTGGGGGTGTCTGGGCTGACAGAACCAACCTCTGGAGACAGAGATAAAAGACGGCTCACATCCCTAAAATCCTTCTATAATTTGGCCTTACTTGCCTAAAGAAAGGCTACAAGAGGGCAGTCCCCAGCGATGTTAGGAACTCCTTGCCTGCCTTTCATGGATGTGAGCGTGGCTCTTTCTTTTAAAACGTGGAGCAGCAGGAATGGGTGGGTGGGAAGCTGTTTGATTTGCAAGCGCAAGTTGCTCTCAAGGGAAGAGATTGATGTCCACTTGCCACCTCTACTTCATTCCTTCTAGATTTACAGGCTCTGTTTCTGGGCCCTAGATAGAATCATAGAATCGTCTAGGTTGGAAGGGACCTTAAAGATCATCTAGTCCAACCATCAACCTAACTCTGTCCTGACAAACCTTAAAAACTCCTTGCTGTTACATCATCAAAACATCAGCCAAAGGAGCAAGTGCCCATCAGTGTGGATGGCACTGAAAGATCACAGAATCACAGAATTGTGGTGGTTGGAAGGGACCTCAGAGATCATCGAGTCCAACCACAAAAAAACAAACAAACAAAAAAAACCCAAGCCACACCACCCACCACCTAAACACACAACAACAACCAAACCAAAAAACCATCACCCACCCACTCAGCAGCCCACGACAAACCAATAATCTTGGGCACTCGAGCATGCCCTGAAGAACCATGTCTACACGTTTCTTAAATCCCTCCAGGGATGGTGACTCCACCACCTCCCTGGGCAGCCCATTCCAATGCTGGATAACCCTTTCAGTAAAGAAATGTTTCCTAATATCTAACCTGAACTTCCCCTGGCGTAACTTGAAGCCATTGCCCCTTGTCCTGACATCTGTAACTTGGGAGAAGAGACCAACCCCCGTCTCTCTACAGCTTCCTTTCAGGTACTTTTACAGAGCAATAAGGTCACCCCTCAGTCTCCTCTTCCCCAGACTGAACACCCCCAGCTCCCTCAGCCTCTCCTCAGAAGACTTGTGCTCCCGCCCCCTCACCAGCTTCGTTGCCCTTCTCTGGACCTGCTCCAGCACCTCAATGTCCCAAGATGTGTATTAAAGAGCAACAAGGGGTACCATGACCACTGTTTTAACAGAAGGCAGCGTCCTACCACCCTGTTTTGGAAGGAGCCTGGTCCTGGCCATGTATTTAACATGCATCTTGAAAGCTCCTGTTGGGTTGGTCCACCTGGGGAGCATGGAATATCTTGGTCCCGATTGGACTGAAGTTAATGCTGACTTGCTGAGTCTTGTTTGTAGTTCTGTGATACCCGGTAGCTTTGAGTATGAGCAGTTCTTCGGGTTTTGGCAAGCAAAGAAGAAAGGTTGGAGTTTGGGTCGTTTTCAGGTTCAGGGCTAGCAAAGTGGGTTGATTTCTCTTTTGGCACGAGCAACTTAACCCTGCTTGAGTCTCAGCCTGGGTGCCCGAGTATATAAATGGACCTTGCCGTGCTGCTCATGTCAGATCCCCTGGCTTGCTTAAATAAATCCTGCCGATTTAGCATCAGAAGATTGTGTAACCCTTTTCACTTGCAAAACAACTGATTATAGAGCATCCTCCTCTGGCCCCGATTAGAGGCTGAAGCAAATGTGACTGGACGGATTTTTGTGAGCGAAGGCTTGTTAATTGAGCGTGTAAACGCGTAATCGTCCGTACAATTATCCAATTGATTTATTTTTATTTTTTTTTTAGCTTTGCGTACAAATATGGGAGCACAGTCGCGCAGTTGGGTAAATTTTTCCAAAGCCAGATGCTTAATTAAATCCGTGCATCGAGCGTACAGATGTGAACCCCATTAAAAAGATTGATGGGGTTGTGGTAACCTCCCCTTTTCTTTCGGCGTGGGGGTATGTTAATCTGAACGTGCTCACCCACGTGTGTCACATACCACGCTTTCTATATTACCTTTTTGTCATTTTTTTTAATACACAGAGTGTGTCGTTGGGGTGGGAAATGGAAATACAAATTTTCAGAGGGTGCTGAATGTTTGTGCTGGCTTTTGGTGGGAGTTGTGACTTGTGCATACGGTGGTTGGTGCTATAAAGCCTTTAAGACAGTTCTATTCCATATGAAATATTAAGCTGAAAAGTGAGTTTTTTATTATTTTCGAGAAAAGCCTACTTAAATAACAGGAGCTGTTGGCAGTTGCAGTTCGGTGCAACTTCTGAGAAGCAAAAAAATGCTATAAATTTGCGAATAACAGTATGCTTGAAGTTTTCTCTGCACTCTTTGGAAGCTGCTGATCTGCAAAGAAGGAAAGATCTGGCAGTTTCAGCCTTTCAATTCTTGTTTGATGCAGTGAATGAAACCCCAACCGGCTCGTGTTTGAGGTCTGCAGTGTTCATTTGCTGAGGGAACTGGGGTTATTCAGCCTGGAGAAGAGGAGGCTGAGGGGAGACCTTCTTGCTCTCTCCAACTCCCTGAAAGGAGGGTGTAGAGAGGTGGGGGTCGGTCTCTTCTCTCAAGTCACAGGTGACAGGACGAGAGGAAATGGCCTCAAGTTGCTCCAGGGGAGGTTCAGGCTGGATATTAGGAAAAATTTTTTCACTGAAAGGGTTCTCAGGCATTGGAATGGGCTGCCCAGGGAGGTGGTTGAGGCACCATCCCTGGAGGTGTTCAAAAGACGGGTTGATGTAGTGCTGGGAGGTATGGTTTAGTGATGATGCTCCTTGTTTGTTGTGTGGGTGTCTATTTTTTGTCAGTTAGGTTGACGGTTGGACAAGATGATCTTTAAGGTCCCTTCCACCCTAGAAGATTCTGTGATTCTGTGAATACTGCTTTTCTTTAGAACGTGGCCTTTTAGAGAGAACGAAACACTACAGTCATACTGCTTTCTGAGGTGGCTTTAAAATTTTCAATAACATGCAACGATGCCGTGATAGAAGAATGCTAGAGCTGTGCCATGGATGTCTACGTGTGATTGATGACTTTATCCAGCCAAGAGTAGTCTGTTCTTCTTCATAGACCCACGGAATGGTTTGGGTTGGAAGGGACCTCCAAAGAACATCTAGTCCAACCTCCCTGCTGTGGGCAGGGACATCTTCCATTCCATCAGGTTGCTCAAAGCCCCATCCAACCTGACCTTGAGCGCTTCCAGGAGGCTTTTCCTCCCAAGCTGAGGGCTCGGGCAGGGACGTGGGGGGCATCGGTGCTGGGAAATGCCAGTTTTACTCCCAGTGACACCCACCTCCCTAACCCCCTGTTCTCTGTTTCTCTGCAGATGTCGTTCCTATGAGGATTGCTGCGGTTCGAGGTGCTGTGTAAGAGCTCTCTCTATCCAGCGACTATGGTATTTTTGGTAGGTCAGAACCTTTGGCAATTTTCTCTTTGGCCTGTTTGTAGGACTTGAATCAGACTTGAAACCCAGCCCTAGTATATAAAGTAGGTACTTTATTCAGTAATCTATATGTGTATACTGCATAAATGCAAGGACTTTGGTTTCTTGCTTATAAAATTATCCCAATGTAGTGAGAAAACACTGGGAAGTGTTTTCATGTGAGGTTGACCTTTCCTGCTTCTGTGTCCTCCTGGTCTGTACAGGCAGTGGTCCCACTTTTATCCAAAATTGCTGAATTCCTTATGCGTGTCCCAGCTACTACCATTTCATCCAGTTTTGTTGGGTTTTAAAAGAGGGTTGTGTAAGGAGGATTGTGCATTAAAGGCAGGGTTTAAGACATTCTCACCAGCCAAGCTACTACCATTTCATCCAGTTTTGTTGGGCACTGGGTTTTAAAAGAGGGTTAAAGGCAGGGTTTAAGACATTCTCGCCAGCCGAACTGAGGCTTCAATTAAAAAGAAGTACGTTGATGACTGCGAGGATTTCACTGGAGATGACAGCAAGGGAAAAGAAGGCAGAAAGATTTGAGCTGGTGGAACCAGCAGCTCAGTAATCTGGATAAAGCTTAAACTAATCACTGTTATGTGCATAATGAAAAAATAAGGTGAATTCTTTTTTGGAGAGGAATTTAAGAGAGCACCTGAATAAAACCTCCTCATTACAGCAGAGAGAAAGCCCTCCTAGAAAACCTGATTTCAAGCATTTTTATGTAGAACTTGAAGACTGCTTAAAAAAAAAAAAAACAAACCTTCAAAATTGAAACAAATAAACACTGAAGCCTGATATATACAATAATAGGGAGATTTCCTGAAGCTGACTGTGGGATTTCAGTGCAAAATCCTTACTGATACAACTGAAGAGCTCTGCATCTCAATCCCTGGGGTGACGTCGCAAATCTCTGTTTTTCTGCTCAGAACAAATCCTTTGCAGGAACACTGCCAAAGGGGAATGTATTCATATTGGCTCAGGGAAACGGGATCTCCTTCTGCTCTCGTTTCCACCCTTTTGCACAAAACACCTCTTGCTGCCGTGCCCGGAATCACAGAGTGATACGGGGATGGAAGGGACCTCTGGAGATCATCTACTCCAACCTCCTGGCCAGAGAGGTGGTGGAGTCTCCTTCTCTGGAGACATTCCAAACCCACCTGGACACGTTCCTGTGGGACCTGCTCTGGGTGGACCTGCTCTGGCAGGGGGTTGGACGAGATGATCTCCAGAGGTCCCTTCCAACCCCAGATCATTCTGTGATTCTGTGGGACAGTTTAGTCGGGTCAGAAAAGGAGCTGAGAGGAGGAGCAGAACTGTAGCAATAGTCATTCTGTGATTCTGTGGGACAGTTTAGTCAGGTCAGAAAAGGAGCTGAGAGGAGCAGAACTGTAGCAATATGATGTCGTTCTTAAGAATCTCTATTCCATCTAGGAAGTACAAAGCTTGTCATCTTCATAGAATCATAGAATCATTGAGGTTGGAAGAGACCCTTGGGATCATCGAGTCCAACCATCTCCCCTACTCTACAAAGTCCTCCCCTACACCATGTCCCTCAGCACTGCATCTAAACGGCCCTTAAACACATCCAGGGATGGGGACTCAACCCCCTCCCTGGGCAGCCTATTCCAATGCCCGACCACTCTCTCTGTGAAAAATTCCTTCCTAATGTTCAATCTAAACCTCCCCTGTTGGAGCTTGAAGCCGTTCCCTCTTGTTCTGTTGTTAATTACCTGTGAGAAGAGACCAGCCCCAACCTCTCTACAGTGTCCTTTCAAGTAGTTGTAGAGAGTGGTGAGGTCTCCCCTCAGCCTCCTCTTCCTCATACTGAACAGCCCCAGCTCCTTCAGCTGCTCTTCATATGATTTGTCTTCCAGGCCCTTCACTAGTTTTGTTGCCCTCCTCTGCACTCGCTCCAGCACCTCCAGATCTCTCTTGGATTGAGGTGCCCAAAACTGGACACAATACTCGATGTGTGGCCTCCCCAGTACTGAGTCCAGGGGCACAATCACCTCCCTGCTTCTGCTGGTCACACTATTTTTGATACAAGCCAGAATGCCATTGGCTTTCTTGGCCACCTGGGCACACGGCCGGCTCATATTCAGCCGCTTGTCAATTAGACAATTCATTGCTGAATGCTTCAGTCTTCTGGCTTGAGGTTAAACGCCGGCTACCATGTTGCCCACGGGAGACAAAATTGCTGTTGAGTAAATTAAGAACACCTAATAACTTTATTTTAAGGGCAAGTGCAGAACAGTGGTTCCTCTTTGTACGGCCAGTCCCCCCAAAACCTCCTGGCTGGCCTTGATGCTGTAAAAGGGAGGCTTGTGTCCAGGAGATGCAGTTTGAAACCGTACGGAGCTGGAATTTCAGTTCAGCCTCCTGGTGGCAAAGGTCAGGTACGAACCTGCTCTTCCCAAACCTTCAAGGGCATTTTAGTTGCAGATTTGTATTTTTAGTATCAGATCTGTATTTCGATGCCAGAAAAACATGGGCCAATAGTACTAACTGCTAAAGATGTCCGTATTATATCCATAAATACTCCAAAATATGGTCATCTCAAATGACACAGACCTGCTCTCAAGTGACAACCCATCTGAGAAACCCCCATAAATCTCATGGACTGATGACTGCTAGATGATGGTCTGTTTCTGTCAGCAAATGGGCTGAATGTGGGTGGGTTTTGACTTCCCTCTTCTCTCTGCCTAGGTTCCTTTTGATGATGGGAGTTTTGTTCTGTTGTGGAGCTGGTTTCTTTATCCGAAGGCGGATGTACCCTCCTCCACTAGTAGAAGAACCTACTTTTAATGTGTCTTACACCAGACAACCAGTCAACACTGCATCAGGTCAGAGACTGCTCATTAAACAAGTTTCACTTATTTCTTACCCGGGTATTTAAAAAGGGGGTGTTTGGGGAGTTGGTGGGTTTGGGTTTTTTGGAAACTATGGCATTTGGAGAAGGAATTGCCCTGCATTAAACCCTGCCACCACCTCCTGTGGTGAGTGAAGCCTTCTGCCTTCCAAAGGATGTAATTCAGCAAGAGAAGTGGTTTTGAAGCCCAGGGTGACAGGACTTTCAGTTCCACTCTGTTGTGCTTCCCAACACCATTAGCTGTGTGTCCACGCGTGGAAGGAGGGTGGCAAGTTCTCACTTTGCAGCGTAGACACAACGATAGGTATCCAAAATGAACAGTGACCTGAAGGAAGAGTTGTAAATATGGTCGATAACGTTTGGCAGAGGTGAGGGAAAGCCTACTCTTTTTCTTCCACGGTTTAACTCTTGTAAGTCTTCTCTTTTTGATTTGCCTTCATGTGCTGGGCTACAGTTTTTCTGCAGCAGTGCTCCTTCTCCCCTTCTCAGTCTGGTTGCTCGCTGGGCAGCAATGGCTGTGAGCATCAGGAGGATCTACCTCGTGATGGCTCCTCTGAGTTTCTTATTTCTTACCCCTTGGGTGCTTATTTATAGACCCAGTTGGGAGAACCCAGCAAAATCAGAGTCACCTGTGAGCAGAAGAGATTTTTGCCTGACGGAAGCCTTTTGAATCCAGCTGTCTCTAGCTGGAAGACCTTCCCCAGTGCTGAGATTGTGTCTGAGTGCACGTTCGGGTTGCTTCCCTTTTCTCCTTGCCTCAGCAAAGCCAAACTGGGACATTTTTAACTGCTCTCCAGATGGCATCAGCCAGTGCTAACTTGTGCCTGCGAAAACACACGCGTACACACCCGCAGGTACGCTTGGTACGCTGACACTTTTCCTCCCAGCCTGTCATTTTGCCACATGCTTTTTTTTTTTTTTTTTTTTTTTTTTTTAAGAGAGAGCCAAAGGCAGACGATAATTACCTTTGCTGACAAGTGTTTTGGAATCAGCAGATTTTTTTTTTTTTTTCTTGTTTCATACTGGCTCGGAAGTGGAAATACACCAGAATATTTCGTATTTGGGAGGCAGATCTCTCTGAAAATTTGCTGCCCTAAACCTCTTTTATCAAAAGTCATCTTCTGAACCGTATCTGGGTAATATTGTGGCTGCATCGAGACAGCCTCCTTAGAAAAGTGTCCTGAACCCCTCTCTGGCTAGTTGTGGCTACGAACCCTGCGCAGGGATGCGGTGTCCAGGCTCCCTCCCCTGTCACGCCGGCTCTTGCACACCCACGTGCCTTGCACAAGCGTTGGAAATGCTTGCTCTTCCACCCTTAAGCACGTACCCACAGACAGGCATTTTCCCCCCCGCTCTCACAAAAGGCTAAATGGATAAAAAGATGTCACAGACACAAACTAACATTTCATTTACCCTCTTTTTTTAAAAAAAAAAACACTAAGGGTTTCTTAGGGCTTCCATCCTGCAGCTGGTTTTCTGCCTGACTTGAACAAACCTTTCCACAGAGAGCATTTTATTGGGAGGGAGCCACACCAACTAAACTATATTTTTAAGCCTGAAAAAAACCCCTCAAGACTATGTGAACGGGGAGCATCCATGGTTGGATTGGCAAATGCTGGGTTTAATTTTAGAGCACAGTTTTCCTTCTTCACGGAGCCCAAATCGTGGGCAACTACGAAATAAGCACGAGCCCTTTGGCAACCTGGTTCCACCACCTGCTTCCAGGCTGTGATTGCTGTTTCTTCAAGCTTTGGGCTCTGAGCTGATGCCACCAAATTATATATATATTTTTTTCCTACTTTTCCTACTATTCTAGGAATATTCAGAAGCAAAAGCAATGGGTATTAGTAGCCGTTTCCCTCTAGCTTTCCAGATCTGGTAGCAGTAGCCATCTCACGGTTGAGGTGGAGCCCGTGAAAGGTGGCTCCTTGCCCATCTCTCCCTCCTTTTCCCTGCAGAGATAAGGACAGCACCTTCTGCCATCCCGGCAGCAGCCTGAAGGTGGGAAGTGCTTTTTCTGTGGGTCTGACTGGGAAAATGGGTTGAAGACCTCACCTGCCAGCAGGAGTTTGCAGACCTGGTGGCATCTCTCACTTTAGGTCTTGCCTACACAGCCCCAGCTCCGGTGCTAGAAGAAGGTCAGGTCCCTTTGTAGACACTAAGAACAAACACTGAGCTGATCCTGCAGGGAAATTGATGTTCAGATGTTGTTTTCTGCTGGGCTTAATGAGCTGAAAATATATCTCAAAAGATTGGTGTCCCTACTTCCTCCCCCCTCCCAAATTCAATAATAATACATGGAGGTTTTAATGAAAATGTATTTATTTTCCTAAAGAGCAAGCTGCCAGGAGCTGCCTCACCCTCTCCCACTTCCCCACGTGGATGGAAACTGCAGGAACTGGGCAGGATTCAACTTTAAGATAAAAATGCTTAAGAAAAAGGTTATAGAAAAAGGTATTAGCCCAGACTTTGGAGAGGTGGGACTCAGCTCCTGTTCCCAGCCTGGCTCTCCCTCAGTCACGTCCTGATGCTATAGGTGGAAGCAGAACAAGGGCTTCTTGTCACCACAGCACGAGAAGAGAAGCTGTGGAGCAGCTCTTTTTGCTGAAGGAAAGGGAATGATTGAGTGGAAAATCCCTGAGAGGCTGTGTCATTGTAGGAAAAACACACTAGCACCAAAAGAAGAAAACCTGTTGCTCAGCTGTGATTATTATTTAATATTTTTTTTCCAGTCCAGTCTTATTTAGAGACAGAGAGAAAGAGAAGAAAATTAATTTACATATTCTAATAGAGACAGTCTGTGACTTTCATTGCTGGAATGGCATTAAGTCATCTTCCACCACCCGCTGGGGTATCTGAGGAGGGTTACACGCCACCTTGGTTATTCCTCATGGCAGCAGCCTCTGTTACCCCTCACGGCACAGCAAAATGATCAATCTTGCTTTTGATCATATGTTTCCTTTCCTTGTCCCTGCAGGCTCCAACATCATTTCCTAAATTTAATCTGCGCGAAGCAATCTTGTCCCATTTTGTTGGCCAGCCAGAACTTGGGTTTTTGCTTCCTAGGTGTTTACTCCATAGCCAGCTCTTGCCTTGAAGGGAAATGATCTCTTTGAGGTGTGCTCTGACGTAGGGGCAGATCCGTACACCACAGAAGAACTGGTGAAGTCCTCTTGTGAGACTGGACACCTGAGCCAGGGCTGCAGCAGAAACCCCTTGGTCCATCTGGGATCCCCCAGCTCTCCTTTCTGCGGGCAGCCTATCTTGTCCCATTTTGTTGGCCAGCCAGAACCGGCTTCAACTTGGGTTTTTGCTTCAGAGGTGTTTACTCCATAGCCAGCTCTTGCCTTGAAGGGAAATGATCTCTTTGAGGTGTGCTCTGACGTAGGGGCAGATCCGTACACCACAGAAGAACTGGTGAAGTCCTCTTGTGAGACTGGACACCTGAGCCAGGGCTGCAGCAGAAACCCCTTGGTCCATCTGGGATCCCCCAGCTCTCCTTTCTGCGGGCAGCCTTTCTGTCCGGGGAACTGAGCAGGACTAGGGAGGAGCAGGACTCAGTTGGGAGAGCGATGTCCTTTCTTTCACTAAATAATTTCCATCGCCTGCAAAATGGAAACCTTTTGGTGAAATCTCAAGGTGAAATTCCCACAGGCCTGGGTTTTCTCTGAAACAGGGGAAAGGCGGCTCCTTGGCTTTATTCTGCTGAACACTTGGAGAAAACTTAGAATCATACAATCATAGATTCATATGGGGTCAGAAGGGACCTCTGGAGATCATCTAGTCCAACCCCCTGCCAAAGCAGGGCCACCCAGAGCAGGTCCCACAGGAACGTGTCCAGGTGGGTTTGGAATGTCTCCAGAGAAGGAGACTCCACCACCTCCCCGGGCAGCCTCTGCCAGGGCCTCACAGGAAAAATGTTCCTCCTCATGTTGAGATGGAACTTCTTACATTCAAGTTTGTGCTCGTTCCCTCTTGTCCTGTCCCTGGGCACCACTGAAAAAAGACTGGCCCCATCCTCCTGACACCCACCCTTGAAGTATTTATAGGTGTTGATCAGATCCCCCTCAGCCTTCTCTTCTCCAGACTAAAAAGCCCCAAGTCCCTCAGCCTTTCCTCATCAGAGAGATGCTCCAGGCCCCTCATCATCTCTGTAGCCCTCTGCTGTCCCCTCTCCAGCAGTTCCCTGTCCTTCTGGAACTGGGGAGCCCAGAACTGGACATGGAGCTCCAGCTGGGGCCTCCCCAGGGCAGAGCAGAGAACACTTAGACATCTGAGAGTTCAGAGCCCCTGGAAAAACACAACCACTGCCCCATTTCCGTGCCGTTGTTGATACCTTTTCTCTCCTTCTCTTTCTCTCAGGGGCACAGCAGCCCGGCGTGCCGTACTACACCGACCCAGGTGGACCCGTGATGAACCCCATGGCTATGGCTTTCCACGTCCAGCCCAACTCCCCGCAAGGAAACCCGGTTTATCCCCCGCCGCCTTCCTACTGCAACACGCCGCCTCCCCCCTACGAGCAGGTGGTGAAATCCTCCACGTGAGGACTCTCTGGCTCTCGGACCTGACTGTGTGAGAAGAAGGTGCAAAATTGCAAAATGACAGAGATGTGGAGGGCACCCGCCCTTTCTGAACACTTGCTAGTTCTCCGACTCCTCTCTCCCTCCCTTCCCTGCACCTTTCCTCGTTAAAGTTACATGCAAAGGGGTGATTTTTAAAATTTTTTTCTTTTTTTTTTTTTCTTTTTTTTTTTTTTTTTTTTTTTTTTTTTAGTAGAAGTGGATTTTTTTCTTTGTCTTCAAAATGAGAGAAGTTGTCTTTGTAATGCTTTTAATGGAAACCTATATTTAAAACCTGGATGTCTTTCTCTTCATTTATTGTTGGTTTCAATCCTGGGTTTAATTGCGTTGTGGCAGGCTGCTGATAGGACTTCTCTCTGCAACCCTGGAGTGATGTGATGTGTGCTCTCCTGAAACCCCACAGCAGAAATGCCCTCAGCTAAGGGAAATGACGGAGAAAGAGATTAGGAGTAGAAGGAGAAGCAGCAAGGCAATGCTTTTACCAGAAATGGTGGCCACCATCTTTTCCATTTACATTTTTCTTGTAAAACTTGGCTCTGAGGGACAACAGGGAGATGCTGTGATAGATGCCCATGAGTGACTGAAGTTCAGGGAATCAGGGAATTGTCAGAGTTGGAAGGGACCTCTAGAGACCATCCAGTCCAACTCCCCTGCCAAAGCAGGGCTGCCCAGAGCACATCACTCAAGAGCATCCAGGTGGGGCTTGAAGATCTCCAGAGAAGGGGACTCCACACCCTCCCTGGGCAGCCTCTTCCAGGGCTCTGCCACCCTCACCCCAAAGAAATTCTTCCTCAGATTGGAGTGGAGCTTCCCATGGTCCAGCTTGTGCCCGTTGCCCCTTGTCCTGTCACTGGAAACCACTGAGAAGAGTCTGGCTCCATCCTCCTTCAACCCACCCTTTAGACACTTGTCAGCATTGATAAGGTCTCCCCTCAGCCTTCTCTTCTCCAGGCTGAAGAGCCCCAGCTCTCTCAGCCTTTCCTCATCAGGGAGATGCTCCAATCCCTCCATCATCTTTGTTGCCCTACGCTGGACTCTCTCCAGCAGTTCCCTGTCCCTCTTGAACTGGGGAGCCCAGAACTGGACGCAGGATTCCAGTTGTGGCCTCCCCAGTGCAGAGCAGAGGGGGAGAATGACCTCCCTCCACCTCCTGGCCACACTCTTCCCTGTGCAGCCCAGGATCCCATTGGCTCTCTTGGCCACAAGGGCACATTGCTGGCTCAGTTGTTGGTTGCAAAGCCCCTGCCATGACTCAAAGTATGCAAAGATGGAGTCATTACTTTAAATGATGCATCTACAAGCATTGGACCAGGACTTGAGTGTTTCTGTGTGGTGGGCATCCTGGCTCCCCTTGTTTTGCCAGCAGTGAGATCACATGAAACAGCTGGTGACCTAAAATGTCAGCAGTGAGAGGGAGGTTATAACCTCAGAGCTACTTGTGCTTGTTCCTCTTGACAGAACAGTTAGAAACGCTGAAATACGTAGGTAAGGGTTTTTTTTGGAAAATAATTACAGTAAGAAAGAATGGGAGCACACTTCCAGGTTTGCTCCCTGGGACATTGATGGGAGTTTTGTCCCTGAGAAACAGTAGTTTTGATTATGGTCTGACTGCTGCCAGAAAGAATACCGAGTAGAACGGTCATCTCCAGGTGATAGGTTTGTAAAACTGCTCTCCTCTCTAGGCCAGACAAATAATTAACTTTTTGGGATTGATGCTTAAGAGCAGGTCTTTGACCTGATGTGAAGGTCATGACCTTCATGATGGCCTCTTCTCCCAAGTTCCAGGTGATGGGACAAGAGGAAACGGCCTCCAGTTGCCCCAGGGGAGGTTCAGGTTGGAGATTGGGACAAATGTTTCCAGGGAAAGGGTTCTGAAGCCTTGGACTGGGCTGCCCAGGGAAGGGGTTGAGGCCCCATCCCTGGAGGGATTTAAGAGCCGGGTTGCCATAGTGCTTAGAGACATGGGTTAGTGATGGGTTTGATCAGAGTGAGGTTGGTGGTTGGACTGGATGATCTGAAAGGTCCCTTCCAACCTGGACAATTCTATCATTCTGTGAGTTTTGCTGTGGTGGCCCCAGGATTCCCAATTCACCATCTCATGCTTGTGGCTGACACTCTGAGTGACCACAAGTCAACACCTTCAAAGAAACAGGGAGCCCCTTTCCATGTGAGGGCTCTCACAACCATCCGTGTAAGGGGTTGAGGCCCCATCCCTGGAGGGATTTAAGAGCCGGGTTGCCATAGTGCTTAGAGACATGGGTTAGTGATGGGTTTGATCAGAGTGAGGTTGGTGGTTGGACTGGATGATCTGAAAGGTCCCTTCCAACCCGGACAGTTCTATCATTCTGTGAGTTTTGCTGTGGTGGCCCCAGGATTCCCAATTCACCATCTCATGCTTGTGGCTGACACTCTGAGTGACCACGAGTCAATACCGTCAAAGAAACAGGGAGCCCCTTTCCACGTGAGGGCTCTCACAACCATCCGTGGCTGTCAAAAACGTGAAGCTCCACTGAGACATGACTACACAGTAATGGGACCTTCTCCCTCCGAGAGTATTGAGAACCGTGTTGCTAAGGAGTCACAAGAAGAAGATGCCATCACCTTCTACTGCTGAAGGACCTGCAGAAACAACATAGGAGTTGGGTTAGGAGGCCTAACACATCAGGTTAGGAGTCTGATATGGTCCTTTGGGTGCCGGGGGAGTGCTTGCTCACTACCAGTACACCGACTGCTCTTGTGTCACTCCAGGGCACAGAGGTCACCAAGGTGGTTTGGAGGAATCTGAAGACCTGTGTTGCACAGGGAGCCAAAGCTTTATTGTGCTGTCAACGCTTGTCAGCAGCTCCTGAGAACTTGTTCCTAGGTGGGAAGCTGGATTTGCAGAACTGGCAGAAAAGAGCATCCCTTTTATTATGAACAGGAGTCTCTACCAGAAGAACCACTAAAGGGTGGCTGTTTCTAAAAGCTGCTGGTGGGGTTGGTAGCCACCTGGAGCAGAGCTTTGGAGGAGCTCCTTCTCGTGGGGCTGACGTGGGTGAAGTTGTAACTAAGCCTTTCCATACTGTGCAGTGTAACATGGGACAAAACAACATACGTTGTGTGTGCAGGGTGGGCTTAAGATAACCAAAAAGGTATGTTTTATATATGATTACTAGATCCATCTGCATCCCATAATAGTCTAAATTAGCGGGCGCTTGGAGTTTAAAGCTGCGTGTGACGCTGAATATGGTTGGGGCTGCACAAGTTTCTTAAAAGCAAATCCAACCTTTCTTCTACGGAAACTGAACTGCTGGAAAGAGTCCAGCGAAGGGCAACAGAGATGATGGAGGGATTGGAGCATCTCCCTGATGAGGAAAGGCTGAGAGAGCTGGGGCTCTTGAGCCTGGAGAAGAGAAGGCTGAGGGGAGACCTTATTAATGCTGACAAGGATCTCAAGGGTGGGTTGAGGGAGGAGGGAGCCAGACTCTTTTCAGTGGTTCCCAGTGAGAGGACAAGGGGCAACGGGCACAAGCTGGAACATAAAGGGTCCACTTGAATATGAGGAAGGACTTCTTTGGGGTGAGGGTGACGGAGCCCTGGAACAGGCTGCCCAGGGAGGGTGTGGAGTCCCCTTCTTTGGAGATCTTCAAGCCCCACCTGGATGCTCCTGAGTAACATGCTCTGACAAGCTCTGGGCAATCCTGCTTCAGCAGGGGAGTTGGACTAGATGATCTCTATGGTCCCTTCCAACTCTAGAAATTCAGTGAAATTCTTCTGTCAGTAGAAATGACAGCAGACCTCACCTTTCATATTATGAAACGTGTCTACAACAGCTGGGGTTTCCCTGGCCACAGCCAAGAGAAGCCTTTTCTAGTGAATTCTTACGCTGTACACGGAAATCCAACTTCTGGGGAAGTTTTCCTGAAATCTGGCTGGTTTATATCTGCTGGTGTTGGTGGACGACTCAACCTCTTACACCCCGTGCACTCCTCTGCTGGCAAAGTGGCTGGGTCTTCTCTTGAAAACATGGCATCTGTATGAATTACTTGCAAACTGTTGAGATGCCTTTCCTCTTGTTGCCTCGCTTTTGGAAGTTTTAAGTTTTCTTTTATTTTTTTTTTTCCCCTCCTAGTTTAAAAAAAAAATAAAGAAGTGAGGAGAAAGAAGGGAGAAACCCTGTAACTTTTGGTAGGGTGATATCCCATGATCTGAAGTCGACGGGGAGTGTACGTTGCATGACTTGCAAGGTTGGAGGATGGATGGAGCAGAAGTAAGTCTTTCTGCAGCCTTGGGGGCTTCTATCGCTCGTAAAACTTGTGCAGGCTTTCTTTGGAAATGCATTTTATTGAAGCAGGTTATTTATTTACCCAGGGAGGGGGTGGAGTCACCATCCCTGGCTGTGTTTAAGGGCCGTTTAGATGCGGTACTGAGGGACATGGTGTAGGGGAGGACTTTGTAGAGTAGGGGAGATGGTTGGACTCGATGATCCCAAGGGTCTCTTCCAACCTGAATGATTCTGTGATTCCATGATTCTATGAAGCAAGGTTGGATGTTGCTGTACCTCCAGCCCTCTTCGTTGCTCTTTCCTGAGCTGTCTGTTTAAAGTAAGTTCTTTATATCAGGGAGTGGAGTGAAGAGTGTGACCTCTCGTGCGCAGAGGAGGAGAGAAGGCAGGGCTAACGCTGCCGAGAGATATGAACTCCACAATGCTTTAGCAAGCCAGATGTGAAACACATCTGCAGGCTGGAGAGGACAGGGTTACTTCTCACCAACGGGTCCCACGGGTGAAGGAAAACATCCTCTTCCAACAGGATTTTTGGCAGGGGTGATGGCCTCGGAGCTGGCAGCTGCTGCAGCTTTGCTGCTGTGAGCTCCCCCGTGGTGTGTTTATCTGCTGGGGTTCCCCTGTCGGATCCTCAGGGTGCTGCTACTGTCTCCTCTCTAACACAGCAGAGATTTCGGGGCCTCGCTGAGGAGGTAAGGGTGGGGTTCTGACTGCAAAATACACAAATATATCAAATATACAAAATATACCCCTTGACAGGACAAGGGGTAATGGTTTTAAACTGAAAGAGGGGAGATTTAGATGAGATATTAGGAAGAACTTCTTTGCTGTGAGGGTGGTGAGACACTGGAACAGGTTGCCCAGAGAAGCTGTGGCTGCCCCATCCCTGGAGGGGTTCAAGGCCAGGCTGGATGGGGCTTGGAGCAACCTGGTCTGGTGGGAGGTGTCCCTGCCCAGGGCAGGGGGTTGGAACTGGATGGGCCTTAAGGTCCCTTCCAGCCCAAACCATTCTGTGATTCTGTGAAAATAAGGTTGGTGCTGGTGGCTGGGAGCCCTGGGGACGTGTGGGGCACTCCCCTGCCCCTTCCTGGGGGCACCAGAGCAGGGTATGGAGCAGACCCCTTGCCTGCTTTTGAGATCTTGCCATCTACATCATCATCTACATCATGACCCATTTAATGGGTCGGGGGGATCAGTCTCCTGGTTCTCGCAGAGGTATTTGGTACGGGGGGTTTAAATGCCTTGGGCAGAACAATGGGTCGGGGGGATCAGTCTCCTGGTTCTTGCAGAGGTATTTGATAGGGGGGGTTTAAATGCCTTGGGCAGAATGGAGATGCTGAAGCTCATCCACTGAGCCCAGGAGAGGGGCCAGAAACAGAAATGATAACCCCTTGAGGTCCTTTCTTCAGTTGCGTGTCCTCAAATGTGTCTTGTGTCCATGAGGAGGCAGCGATGGGGAGGAGCATGCCTAGGTGGGTCAGGAAACCTTGGAGGTCTGTGTTGTGGAGGTTGCTGTGACCCTGGCAGAGATGGGAATGAGGAAGGGGGAGGTCAGTCCCTTTCTGCCCCAATGACATCTCCAACTCCACCGCTTTGGGAGAAAAGGCACTACCAGAAGCTCTTGGTAACACCTTGCCTGTAGCTCTGCTGTGGCCAGTCCTTTTATAGGTCCAAGGCTTGTGCTGGGGGGTGGGGAGGGAGGGGACCTGTCCCTCCCGTGGCCGGGCAGTTGGGTTCGCTGTGAGTCCTGTCTCAGTGAAGAACAGGGAAGGTTATGGATGGCTGGACACACTCTGCTCTCTCCTCCTTGGGGATCAGGCAGGGAACGAGCAGAAGACTTTATAGACTTGTAAGGGTGGTCCTTGTGTGCAGCTTGTGCCTCCAGCTTGTGCTGGACCATAGCTCTCAGCAGGGAGCTGGCCATCTCCTCATGCCTCAAACCTTCCTGACCTCAGGTGTGTTTCAGGGCCATGGACCCGGCTGCATTTCCGAGCAGGTTCCAGCTGCATCTTCTTCCACCATCAGCGAGGAGACCAAAAAGCCCCATTTGCTTCCCTTCCTTTCAGCTGCCAGGGGAGTTCTCAGCTGTAGGTACCTGCGTGTGATGGACACACCATCCACCCTTGGTCCTTCACCCAGCACTGCCCCACCTCCATCCCACCAGCCCCGTGTCTCCCAGGGCAGGGTGGAGGGAAGAGTTTATTTCTTCAGTGTTTCTCAGGTCATCAATTGGACCAGTCTTGTCTCCAGGTACCAGAGCACCTTGAGGTTTGTACTGAATTATGTAAAGTCCATCAGCTGCCCTGATGAGTCCTAAGGGTGGACACTTGGGAGAGACTTGTCCTGGCTCCTCCACACCCTAGAAATGCCCCTCTTGGGCAGAGCAGATCATCTTCAGTGTGGATTTAGGGGGCGAGCTGAGGGTGAGGAGAGTGGGCAGGCTTTGTTGTGCCACGGGCAGCACCAGGCAGCTGGTGGGGAGGTGCCTGGCACATGGGGAAGGGAGGTCCTCAGATGCTCAGCTCAGTGGATTGGGGCAGAAAAATCAATTCCCACCACCCAACAGCTGCCCTGGGCTCCTGCAGCCCTCCCTGTCTTGCGTGGTGGCAGCTGGAGGGCTGGCAGAGCTGCTGGTGGTGGGTGCCCCAGGGAGATGTTTTGGAAGGGGGAGGCTGGGATATGATGGGTGACCTGATGGGTGGGAGTGACCTGGCACCAACAAAGGGACAGAAAAGATCTGGTTTCCGACAGCATGGTGGTGGGTGCCCCAGGGAGATGTTTTGGGATATGGGTGACCTGATGGGTGGGAGTGACCTGGCACCAACAAAGGGACAGAAAAGATCTGGTTTCCGACAGCAAAGGGGTGAAGGAAAGGCCTGGAAGTTTGCTGGGTGGCATTGAGGTGGATGCTCTACGTCTGTGGGCAGCTCCAGGGGGTTACGGAGACGTTGGGTATCGGCCTGGGGTCACTGGTGGGTTGCTGGGGTGTGAGTGGGGAGCAGAGGAAGATCACGCTTCTAACACCACCTCATCTTCTTCTGACGAGCTACCGTGTGGAGGAAGCAGGGGTGGGGAGGGACTCTGTGCTGATGGGACCAGCCTGGCTGATGCTCTCTGTCCTGCCTGTCCCCAAAGCCCTTACACAGGGATTACTGTCCCTCAGCTCCCCCCCAGCTCTGCACATCTCCTGCCAGCCCTGCAGCAGGACACTGGGGGCTCCTTGAAGATGATCCCCCCCCTGTCCCCACCCCACCAGAAGCAACACAGGAATGGGGCTGTGAAGCCTCTCTAAGCCACCGGGCTGAAGCTCCCCCTTCACCATGGCTGGGAGGGCTCTGGCTGCCCAGGGCTCACACTGAAGGCCAGGGCTGTCTTCTCAGAGCATCATCTTCCAAGCCCAGGAGAGGTTTTTTTTCCCAGGAAAGTATGTTTTCTTCCCATAGGGTGCCTTCCCTTGGAGGTGCTTTCCATGCTATTGATGACAGCAGAGGGCTTCAAAGATGATGAGGGGCCTGGAGCATCTCTCTGATGAGGAAAGGCTGAGGGACTTGGGTCTTTTTAGTCTGGAGAAGAGAAGGCTGAGGGGGGATCTGATCAACACCTATAAATACTTCAAGGGTGGGTGTCAGGAGGATGGGGCCAGGCTTTTTTCAGTGGTGCCCAGGGACAGGACAAGAGGGAATGGTCAGAAACTTGAACATACATAAGAAGTTCCACCTAAAGATGAGGAGGAACTTCTTTGCTGAGAGGGTGGCAGAGCCCTGGCAGAGGCTGCCCAGAGAGGTGGTCCCTTCCAACCCTGTATCATTCTGTGATTCTATATGAAATTTCTCTGTCCAGCTGACAAACATCTGTTTTCCAGCTTTGAGAAAGCTTCACGTTTCAGGCTTTAACAGAAGAAAACTTTGAGCATTCTGCAAGCAAGGAGCAGTATTTCTTATTTCACAAAGCCCCATGTGGCACTTGTGGCCTTCTGCCACGGAGAGCAACTGTTGCCTTTTTGAATTAATAGCATTATTTTTGGTAGAGACCTGAAGAACATCTATATAAATTTATTTTTCTTCCTCTCACGGAAGCTGCAATTAGATAAACACATGGGGGCTTCTCTTACACAATTGCTCTCAACCACCAAAGTGCTGTTGTCTGTAAGTAACCTCAGAACAGGGTGGGACAGAAAAGTGGGAGGAAGTGTGTCAGATAAGAGCTGTGCCCAAGCCCTGAACCATCAGCTGATGAATCACAGGATGATCTGGGGTTGGAAGGGACCTCTGGAGATCATCTAGTCCAACCTCCTGCCAAAGCAGGGCCACCCAGAGCAGGTCCCACAGGAATGTGTCCAGGTGGGGTTTGAATGTCTCCAGAGAAGGAGACTCCACCACCTCCCTGGGCAGCCTCTGCCAGGGCTCTGCCACCCTCACAGCAAAGAAGTTCCTCCTCATGTTTAGGTGGAACTTCTTACATTCAAGTTTGTGCCCATTCCCTCTTGTGCTGTCCCTGGACACCACTGAAACAAGCCTGGCCCCATCCTCCTGACACCCACCCTTGAAGTATTTATAGGTGTTGATCAGATCCCCCCTCAACCTTCCCTTCTCCAGACTAAAAAGACCCAAGTCCCTCAGCCTTTCCTCATCAGAGAGATGCTCCAGGCCCCTCATCATCTCTGTAGCCCTCTGCTGTCCCCTCTCCAGCAGTTCCCTGTCCTTCTGGAACTGGGGAGCCCAGAACTGGTCCCAGTGCTCCAGCTGGGGCCTCCCCAGGGCAGAGCAAAATGGGGGCAGGATGACCTCCCTCCACCTGCTGCTCACCCTCTTCCTGATGCCCCCCAGGATGCCATATATGTGTTTTTAAATCAAGCTTTAAGGCTTTACCTGCCACCAGTTGGGCAGGAGCAATGTGACCAGGCCCCTTAGGGCCTTGCCCTAAGCAACCTATGCTCAAAATCACCTGGGAGAAGCAGCAGGAAAGGAATCTTCTACGGTAGAAAAAGCTGAAGGTTCAAAAAAGAAAGCCCCATCTGCCCCCACTCCAGCAGGACTATGGGATGGGGAGGTGGTTCCACAGCTGGATGGGTAGGAAAGCTGGAGAGCACTGGAGGGAGGAGAAGGGAGGAGCACAGCAAAAAAAATAAAGGACTGGCACGAATTTCCACCACACAGCTTGATCTTTACTAATAAAGCCAAAGAACAAAACATCAGCATTATTTTTTTTTTTTTTTCCTCTTTTTCTGCCCGAAGAGCATCTCCATTTTTAACACTACTGCTTTTTTGCAACAGATGGGACTATCACACACGGACAAAGCAAACCGGGGAAGAATTAAGACATTTTTTCCACATTTTTAGTTCGAGGTGATTCCTGGAAATGACGCCTTGGTGAAATGTGTATTTTTTTTTTTTTTTTTCACCTTTCTTACTGGGCGACCTAGAGCCCACGGCGCTGTGAGGAACGGAGAGGAGGGAGCCACGGGGGGAAGTCACATGAGGAAGATGAGGCAGGTGCTTCCCGGCTCCATAATGTTAACTTTCCAGCCTTTCTCAATTCCCAGAGGATTCTGTGGAGAAAGCTGCTGCCAGGCCCCAGGGCAGCAGAAGGCTGGCTGGGGTATGGAAGGAGCTGGGAAGCCACCTTGCTCATTATTTCCACAGGTGCATCACGGACCTCTGCTCAATATTAAGCCATTTTAAGTGTGTAGACACCTATATATTTTTTAAACCAGCAAGTTTTCATTCCAACCAGCCCAACTCACCTCCCCCAGGTGCCATCCCAAGCTCAGCAGCCAAGAAGGCACGTAATAACCCCGTGACAGTACCTGCCTAGTGACCCCACCGTGGGCTTGGGTCTGCTGGGAAGGCCTGTGGCCTCTGCTGGGTGTTTGCAGGCGGTTCCTGCAGACCTGGAGAGCCTCTTCCCTGTTAAACCCCCCCCCTCCATGTGCTCTGCAGTCACAGTGGAGGGGAAGGAAAGAAGAGGCCAAGATGATGTCAACCAGGACCAGGGTTGGTGTCTACCTGCTGTGCTAGGAGTTCTGAGAGACTTCACTCTGGGCCCGTTTCCTCCCTGGCTTATTTATGGGCAGGATCTTCCACAGGCTGAAGAAACAAAACACAGAATTAGACCTTAGTGTGCTTGCTGGGGGGGAACATCTCATTTGAGATGGCCTCTACTGGTCCATTCTATGCGTTGCCTCTTCCTCTTCCTCACCGATGCCTCCGCTTTCTGCCGCTCCGCTCCCGGTTGTTTCACCCCAGCCCCTTCCCTCAGCCCCATGGCCTTCCAGCATTTTCCCTCGTTCCTGGTTGGGTTTGGTGCCCCTCAACTCATCTCCTCCCCTTTGCCAAGAGGGGTGGAAAAGCCTTCTGTGTTTCAGTCCTACCTGAACAACCAGCAGAGGAGCTACACTATGATATTAAGTTGTCCCCTGGCTCTTGCTGTTTTGCTGGCCCTTCCCCAGCAAAACTGAGTGTGGAGATGATGAACATCCTAATGGATTTGGCAACAGCCGCTACAGAAGTTCAAGGAAGTCACCTGCCACCATATGCAGGAGCAACGACGCATCTCCAAACTTGCCCTCAACCACTGGGGCTCAGGAGATGGTCCCGTGGGTCACGGATCTCCCCACGCACGCCTGAAAGGTCAAAGTCTCTGCCACCCGTCACACCTGTACCCGATAGAAGGCATCAATAAGCACCTGGAATGACAAAGGAGATGGAGAAGCTGGGGGAAGGAGGACAACGGAGCCTGAGCCGGTGAGTACGTGTTACACTTACCCACCTTTCCCAAGCAGGAAGGGTACACACTATCTGGAATACATAAGCCTGCTGGAAGTGTACTTACAGCGTGTCCCACTTCTCCTCCCAAACCAAGAGCTCCATACCCAGGATGACTTAGAGGCAGGTCTAGTATTTCCCAACCCCACCAACGCTGCCAGGGGGAAGCAAAGCGCCAGCAGGACAGTTAAATCTAAGGGCTTTGTCTGTTTGGATTTTTAAGATGGAATCCTCTCCAATGACAGGCTCTAGCAATGGTTTCACGTCTTCTGCAGCCTCCAGAAGCAGCTGGTGTTTGATCACTCCCCATCCCACTGCGTGTGCTCAACGCAGCCGGGTGAGGAAAGGGAGGGAAGGGCCCGTGGGGCAGAAGGAAGCAAGTGTCACCACCGACAAACCGCCCTGGTGCCCTCCCTCACTAGGTGCTGCAGGACACGTTGATTACAAATCCAGGTAGGGGAGAGGAGAAAAGCACATTGGGCTTTTCTGCTCTGCTCTCGGAGGTCGGTATGGGTGACTCCATCTTCAGTTTGTTAAGCTCCTGCCGTGGGACGGGGCTTTGCAGAGGTGGGGACAACCATCTCCACCCCTGCTGGAAGTGCCTATCACGCTCACCAGGTGCAGGTATCAAAGGGCTTTCCAAAAAACCTCCCCACAACAGCAGGAAAAAGACAAGTCGGGCCCCTTCCAACCTGCTGCGTTTCTGAAAACTGAGATGGGCTCCTACTTCTTCATCAAAAAATGGCTCATCTCCGTCACCTTAGCTTCTAGGGACTACGGAGAAAAAACACAGAAAAATATGAACATAGAAACGTTTTTCACCTCTTTTGAAAGTCACCAGCTCCCCAGTGAAGCTGGGCAGCGTCCTGCAGCAAACTCTCTGGCGTTAAGGTGGAACTCTGTGGGGAACCAGGCTGCAGAAAGCGACGCCGCCGTGGCGAGCCATGCGCGAAGGGACGGGACAGGGATCCACACGGAGACCAGCTTTTTGCTAACAACAAAGGACTGGAATCAACAGACAACACCAATAAACGTGCAGAGCATGTCAAAAGACCCCAAGAAGACAAATACAACAGAAGAGAGAAAGTTCAAAACTTGACTTCTCTGGTCCTACGTCTGAAGGTATCACTTGAACAGAACTTAAATGTGGCTTCTCCTGTTCATGCTCTAATGACTTCACGGTCCTTTGAGGCGGGGCAGGGGGAGAAAAGGGATTTATCCATCCGTCGGTTCAGGGTCGAGTTGGTTCAGTATCAGAGGCACTAAGCAGTCTCATCTCTTTTGGCATCAGTTTCCTTTCAAAACGATCTTTTAGCTGTCCTGTTGCACTTTGTTTTCCCTCCTTTGAGGTCCAAGTTCAAACGCTGGAAACCGGGAAGTCTCGGGTACTGAAATATCTGAGAGGAAGTGAATAGCTCCAGCCATGCCTACAACATCACAAGAAAGAGACCTTTGTGCATCTTTGACATCAAAGTACCACAGTTGACAGCAAAGGCAGCAGCGCCCGTTTGAACACCTCCCCACTAGACCTTTTTTTCAACAGGTGAACTTATGGTCTATAGAAAGGCAAGTTCACAGAATCACAGAATGACACGGGGTTGGAAGGGACCTCTGGAGATCATCTAGTCCAACCCCCTGCCAGAGCAGGGCCACCCAGAGCAGGTCCCACAGGAACATGTCCAGGTGCGTTTGAATGTCTCCAGAGAAGGAGACTCCACCACCTCCCTGGGCAGCCTCTGCCAGGGCTCTGCCACCCTCACAGCAAAGAAGTTCCTCCTCATGTTGAGATGGAACTTCTTACATTCAAGTTTGTGCCTGTTCCCTCTTGTCCTGTCCCTGGGCACCACTGAAACAAGCCCCATCCTCCTGACACCCACCCTTGAAGGATTTATAGGTGTTGATCAGATCCCCCCTCAGCCTTCTCTTCTCCAGACTAAAAAGACCCAAGTCCCTCAGCCTTTCCTCGTAAGAGAGATGCTCCAGGCCCCTCATCATCTCTGTAGCCCTCTGCTGTCCCCTCTCCAGCAGTTCCCTGTCCTTCTGGAACTGGGGAGC